GACTTTTACGACAATCAGCGTCATTTAGTATCCTCTTGCACTAACTCCATTATTAGTGCCCAACCAATGAAAAACTCTTCTTGCATTGGAATAAAACGCATTTCCAAAGAAATGCTGGGTCCCTTTGACTCCTTGGTGGCCATGGGTAGACAGATGGGCGATAGTGATATGTTCATTGCTCTTGTAATCAGTTAATTCGATTTCCATAGTCAACAGGTTGCCTAAGGCTACATTGTAATAGGTTTTTACAGAAATAAAAGCCAGCTTAGCTTGGTAGGAGTCAGTTAAGTCGATGTTGACCCTTTTTTGAACTACCTTAATGGAAAGCTTATAAACAAGTCTAAGACAATAAGCAGTTACTCTAAGAAGCCTTTCCCATTTGGAATATTGACCATACAAAACAGTGACTAAGTTCAGCACGCACTACTTCATGGTCTGTCTGCACAACGCAGAAAGAACAAGATGGCCAGCGAGTATGTATCAAATACCACTGAAGTGAGGGGCAGCTGGAGGATTAAAATGCCACTCAGTGCCAGAAGACGACAGACTATCGGCAAAATGAGATAAATGACACCAAGCTGTCCACATTCTTTTTAATTCGTGGTCGGCACCTACAAAGTTCGTGTCCTGATCACTATGGACAACAGTACACTGCCCTCGACGAGACACAAGGCCCTAGAGACGATGATTGTTCCAGGAATTAATCAAAAACATGAACCACAAAAGAACTGCAATAAAATTACAAAATAAGAACTCAGAGCAAAACATTTTAAACATAATACATACTTTAAACCCACGAACAATTTTAAAATTAAACTTCTTGAAAATAAGTTATAGTCAGCAAATATCTTGATGTTATATACATACATAGACTTTTAGGANTGAGTTTGCGTTCACCACTGATGTGCACCATACATTGGTAGTGATTATTGTTTGAGACATCCATCAACAGTCCGTGAGTAACAGTAGCGAAGAACATTATTGAAACCAGAATGAACTCCAATAAATTACCATCCAGTTGACAGACACCACCAAATCAGCAAAAGAAGAACGATGAACTCCAACATCACACGGAACACGCCGAACCCATCAAAAGGAGCGCAAAATACAATACAAACGTAAAATAAACCTAATCTTCTCAACAACAAGTTGAGCCAATTGCATGTATCAAAAACATTTACTAGATACAAAAAACAATTAAAAATACAAAATTTAAAAATATGGCCAAGTTTTAGTAAAACCATCAATTTACGACAAAACATCAAAAAATAAAATAAAAATATCCAATAATAGAACCTTATTACTCAGAAGTTCTTAACATACAACAAACTATTAAATACATCAACTTTATTTTTAAGTTTCAATATTCAAAATAAGAAGTATTTTAAGTATTCTAATCGCGTAAAAGCATAATATTGAATATTTATACTACATACGTTTTTTTAAGAGATAGCTTAATATAATTTTATACCTATGCATACAAGAATCTTCAAAAAATCTACCATCGCAAAATTAGTCTTACAAAAAGAGGAAGTACCTCATATGACAAATATAGATAAATAGTAATTTGAAGTATTCAGTTTTTAACTATTACGTCCGAACTTTTATAAGTGAAAAGCGGAACTCGTAGTTTCATTCTACAAAGAAATAAATTTGATTTCTGTTCGTCAGAAACCAGCCATCGGCCCGAAGGCCTTATTTTCTTCTACTTACAGTAAATCGTTGACTCGGCGTTGTGGTGTTAGATTTCACCGAGCGATATGTATGAAGCAGTGTTCGCCAAGCTGGCGTTGACTTACTGTTTGAGTTTACGTCTTATGTAACACAGTAGTAGCGTATCTTATTCCTCTTTTAATATCACGTCCTTGTAGAGGTCTTTGTCATACGTTTTCTATTTAAATTAATCTCGATATTTCATTTATTAATCAAGTAAGAATTGTGTTTCTATCAATTAGAATTTTGAAACTTGGAATATTTCATATGATTTTATAATCCAGATGCTTTTCAATTAACAAAGTTAACTTAATCAGCAATCAAGTTATGTCCTGTCTGATGATTTAATAAATTAAAAAAAGCCGGAAATAATTGATTTGACAAGTAGTATAAATTAAAAAGTTTCAGATTCACATTAACAATGGTTACGCAGTTTATAGTTTGTCTTAACTTAACTTACTTCTATGATCGTTGGTTAGCCGCTGCTTGCGAGCACGCAATTGCAAGATCTTACAAGGTTGACGACAGTGATAATCCTAGTCCTATATGAGATTACTCGTGGCGATGACAATAATAAGGCTTTTGCTTTTAACGTTGGAACCTAAGTCAACGATCCTTTCTTTCTTGTCCCTTCTTGATTCACTTTTTAGGCGAGTCTACAGTGGTCTGGTTTGCTCCAGATTTTTTGATACAGCTTAGTCACTGAACTGAGAATTACATTTGCTTGAAATGCGCGCTTCTAACACGTAGCTTAATTACCAAACTAAGTCTTACATCCACATGACAGACGCAACAGAACTCCCTTTCAAACCTCTATAGTTACCTTGGAGTAATTGATGAAAGAGAATAGGCAATAATTATTATGTCCAAGAAGTTTTTACACTCTTGCAGTCAAGGAGGACGCGTTAAGTTAGAAATCCAAACGATATATCTTGTGTACATACGCAGAAAAGAATATTAAAATTGTTGACTATTTACATTCTTGGATGTACCACTGCAAACTGATGTCGTAATCTGAGCAATTTATAAAATTTTTGTAGGGTGCACACGTAGTTCGAGTTCTGCGACGGTTGCTTGTTTCAATAGAAGTAAGTTATACGTCACATGATTGTAAAAGCAGGTGTACCGCTCGATGTTTGGAGATCGCTGAGATATTGCTTTGTATAATTTACATCGAAACTCTGTGTTTCAAAGTAATAAATATTAAGTATATTTACTAATGATATATTAAGTATATAACATGGGATATCATATTACAACTACTTTAAATATTTATATTAATGATGAATATGTATTTCTATAAATTATTCTCCCTGCATGCCTTTGTTAATAACCTACAAATTTTTATGTTAGCAGTACGGATGTGTGGGTATGTGATCAGGCAATAAAATGTACAACACTGTCGATTTCATTATAAAACAGGGACACGTTTATTCTCATTATCTTCAGTTTATGCTATCTTTAGTCTTTACAATCCAGGATATAATCGTAAGCTGAACTGAAATAAAGCAAGATCAAATCAAAAGGAAAATACGAAAAGCAGGTACTGCGTATCAACATACTGACTGACCGCGTGAGAGTTAGAAAACCAGAGGTATTAGACGATGAAGTGCAGCATCACAGCGCCTCGTCTTCTTGCTATTGCGCATGCGTTATAATTCAGTTACGAACGCCAAATATACATCTAATCGAGACGATGAAATGCTACAATGAATGTCTCAGTCGAGTAGTCCTCAGCCACTTCCAGATGTACCGCTTTGGTGGCCGTACATATAAACACGACCACGTATCCCTTGAGAGTACCCTTTCTTCGACTTTTAGACAACCGAATTGGAAAAGGTCCAGCATAATCAACTCCAGTCTTCTGAAAGGGTGGACTAGGAGTAACTTGACAATTTGGAAGATCGTTCATCAATTGAGTCTGAGTCCAGCCCTTGTACCTTTTACAGGTGAAACAGTGACTAAGTTTGGCACGCACAACTTCACGACCTCGCAAAATCCAAAATTTTTTGCCTAAGAGACACAAGAATCATCTCAACACCTCCATGTAATGCCTTGCGATGATAATAGTCAATTACCAATTGAGTGATACAGTCGTAGCCATAGACGATCTAATAGCTGCGCATGAAGTTTGGTATTAAGCAGCTTTGACTATGTTCAAGCAGCTGGAACAACTTTTTAAAAAGAACCCTGAATTTTACGGTGCTTATAACAAATTCATGTCAGAATACCTAGCCTTAGGTCACATTTTTCAAAGCTTTGAGTCTGATCGTGCCGTCTATTTTCTACCACATCATGGTTTTCATGAAATCAACGAAGAAACTTCAAAGTTAAGAGTAGTCTTTAATGGCTCATTTAAAAATCGTAAAGGCCTTTCATTGAACTCTGTCTTGTACTCAGGCCCAAATTGACTGAATAATTTGTATGAAATCATTTTTAAATGGCGATTTTATGAGTTTGCGTTCACCACTGATGTGGAGCAAATGTTCAGGCAAATACTTGTTCATACTGATGATCAGTTTTTTCAGGCTATCCTTTGGCATTCAAAGCAGTCTGATCCTCCAAAAATCTTTTTACTCAACACAGTTACTTACGGCCAAGCAAGCTCGCCATTTCAAGCTACTCGTGTTCTTCGCCAGCTGGCTACTGATTATGCTGAATCTCATGCTAGAGCCGCCAAGGTTATTTTGGAGAATTTTTACGTTGACGATTGCCTTTTAGGCGCTTACTCGTTAAGTGAAGCACAACAAAAAAGTGCAGAACTTTTAGAATTAGCTCATTTTGGTGGTTTCCCTCTCAGAAAGTGGTCAGCTAATGTTTCTCAAGTGCTCCCTGGCATACCTGACAAATTCAAGGTCGACAAGCCAAAGGAACTCAAGGAGTTTGAGACTACAATTTCCGTTCTTAGCTTGTCTTGGAATCCCTAAAGTGACGACTTTCACTTCCAATTAATTGTTAGCTCTAGCCCTCAAGCTTAGATGAGACGATATTTTTTATTACAAGTAGCTAAGTTTTTTGATTCGTTAGGATGGTTTTTGCCTGTTATTATTTCTGGCAAAATTGTATTTCAGTCCTTAAGGCCATTAAAAATATCGTGGGATGGTCCACTGCCGCCGACAGTTATTGCTAAATGAGTCACGTAGTTGGATAAAGTGCCCCAATTAAACAAAATTACTATACCTCGCCGGAATTACTTCTCATCAGGCTTTGAAAGGCTAAAATACACGGCTTTGCTGATGCATCTAAGTTGGCTTACGCTGCTGTAATTTATATTCGTGTAGTTGAAGATGAAAAGGTCTATGTCACTCTTCAGTTGGCTAAGACCAAGGTAAGCCCTATTAAGACCTTGAGTATATCACGGCTGGAACTCTGTGCTGCTCAGCTGCTTGCTAGAATTGTCAGTCATTTTTTTCATTGTTGCCCTGTCAAAGATGAACCCGTCCACCTATAGGCTGACTCATTAAACACATTGCATTGGCTTAATGCGCCGCCATCCAGATGGCCTTGTTTCGTTGCCAACAGGTGCTCAAATATATTCAAGCTGATGTCTAAGGCTGAGTGGCACCATATAAGATCTAGTCAGAACCCAGCTGACATAGCTTCTCAAGGAATACATCCAGATCAAATGAGAGAACAGTGTTTGTGGTTTTCTGGACGAGATATTCTCCACGAGCTCCAGCCCAAGTACCCCAAACTTAAGATTGAAATTTTAGAGGATCTACTCTATAATGTTAACGTCTTGATTAAAACTAAAGGGTTAGCGTCCTTTGTCACTGAATTGTATGGTCAATATTCCAAATGGGAAAGGCTTTTTAGAGTAACTGCTTATTGTCTTAGATTTGTTTATAAGCTTTTCATTAAGGTAGTTCAAAAAAGGGTCAACATCGACCTAACTGACTCCTACCAGCCTAAGCTGCTTTTATTTTTGTAAATATCTATTACAATGTACCCTTAGGCAACCTGTCGACTAAGAAAATCGATAATGCTGCCTCTTTAATAGTTGATACACATCAGCAGAGATAGTTTCTGCCGATTTGGCTGTTCTTTGTAGAAACCAAGGGCTAAGACCTGATGAATTAAAACAGCTTCCATTAAGTAGTCGTTTGCATAAACTAACGCCTGTTATCATCGATGATCTTCTTCGAGTCGGTGGAAGGCTTAGTAACTCTCTTTTAGATGCAAATGCTAAACATCCTTTAATCCTCTATGGCTTTGACTATATCACTCAATTGTTGATTGACTTTTATCATCGCAAGGCATTACATAGAGGTGTTGAGATGATTCTTGTGTCTCTTAGGCAAAAATATTGGATTTTGTGAGGTCGTGAAGTAGTGCGTGCTGAACTTAGTCACTGTTTCACCTGTAAAAGGTACAAGGGCCGGACTTAGACTCAATTGATGAACGATCTTCCAAATTGTCAAGTTACTCCTAGTCCACCCTTTCAGAAGACTGGAGTTGATTATGCCGGACCTTTTCCAATTCGGTTGTCTAAAAGTCGAGGAAAGGGTACTCTCAAGGGATACGTGGTCGGGTTTATATGTACGACCACCAAAGCGGTACATCTGGATGGGGACTCCTGAGGCATTCGTTGCAGCATTTTATCACCTTGTTTTTCGTCGAGGGCAGTGTACTTATCTTCATAGTGATTAGGGCACGAATTTTGTAGGTGCTGACCACGAATTAAAAAGAATGTGGACAGCTCGGTGTCATTCTTCTGATGTTGTCAATAGTCTGTCGTCTTCTGATACTGAGTGGTATTTTAATCCTCCAGCTGCCCCACACTTCAGAGGTATTTGGGAATCTACCGTAAAATCATTGAAGTTCCATTTGAAGCGAGTCGTTGGTGATTAGATTTTAACGTTTGTCGAGTTCTTGACCCTGTTGTGTCGTATAGAATCGTGCCTTAATTTGCGGCCACTGTGCCCTCTGACCAATGATCCTGAGGACCCTTATGCTTTCACTCCTGCCCACTTATTAATACTTAGACCGTTCTTTATTTTGCCCCAACCAGATTTGACCTCCGGAAAAATATCTCCATTACACAGGTGGAAGCTTGTTACACAGACTGTCCATGATTTTTGGAGGCGCTGGTCCTCAGAGTACCTCAGCACTCTTCAGGCACGATCTAAGTGGCTTACGCCCTAAAGATCCATGCTGATAGTAGATTTACTCCTTATTAAGAATGAGGTGACTCCACCTGACAAGTGGCCTCTGGGTCGTATAATTGGAATTTTGAAGGACACTTATTTAAGCTATGTTTCCTAAAACAATTAAGACAAATCTTTTTAGTTTCAATAAAGCTCTTTTTTTCTTTCCAAGTTTTTGATTTAAAATTGTCACATTGATACAGTCGATGAGCCTGATTACAAAACAAGCATTTTGGTGAATTACTATCAGGAGTGGGTTGAGCTGCAGTCTGATGCACAGCAGCAGATTTATTAGTTTTAATTTTTTGATCAAGATTATTCGAATTTTTCCTAATGGAAGCCTCTAAAGTGATGATTTAAGCAGTTATATACTCCCTTAACTGCATAACGGTAGGCGCATTGCCACTGCTCCCTAAATGCTTTTTCCAATCTTTATGTGTGTAGAAATCGAATAATCTTTTAACTATTTTCTATTTCATAGTTTTCTTATTTTTAATTCGTATTCTTCTAAAATCTTGGCGTACATTATAATATAATCTAAAAATATAAATAGTTCCATGCCTTGTAATCCCAATAATACGAAATCCATTAGTCTTTGAAATGTTGCCCGTGCGTTGCATAATCCAAATGGCATACCTGTATACTCATTAAGTCCATATGTATAACTAAAAGCTGTTTTGTGGCAATCTTCTGGAGATACTTCAATTTGATAAAATCCGTTAGCTAGTACTGTTAAAGAGTACTGAAAAAAATTTTGACCCACCAATTTGCTCTAATATCTCTGTAAAATTAGGCAATGGGTAAGCATTAGGGATAGTTTTAGCGTTTAATTTCCTGTAATCTATTACAAGACGATGTCTCTTTTCTCCGTTGGGTCCTAGCTTTTTGGGAAAAATCCACAGAGGGCTATTGTATAGGCTAGAAGAGTAGCTAATGGTTCCTTCTTGTAATAATTTATGGATTTGATCTCTAACTTCCTTGTGTAGAGCAGGAGGGTATCTATATTGTTTAGTAAAGACAGGTTTATCGTCAGTTGTTGGTATATCATGTTGTACATACGATGTACGTGGAGCAGCATCACCTTTGATATAAAAAAGATGTGAGTACTCTTTTATTACTTGGAAAAGTTGTTAATAACTTGTTGTATCATGATGATGCTGGCAAAGTTCGTCTATATATTTAATTCTTTCCTCTGTTGTTATGTTGGGAACAATCTGAATCAAGAAAATTTTCTGAATCATCTAAGTCAAAAGGCACAAGATCTTGAGGAGGAATCTCAATTTTTACTGGCTCTTCTCTGGTGTTACAGCCATCGTAAGACAGTGACCCTTATCGTATGTTACTGTTGCTTTGCCTATGAATATACCAGGAGTAGTTTCTATTAAACGTAAGTATACTTATCTGTGGCTGTTAATTTGCGTTACAGGAATTTCTATTGGAACTCTCATTCCAGCTGGTATTTTGTATACACGATTTTGACCAAAGGTTATTCCTGTAGGCTTAAAATGTTGAGAAGTTGGCAGAGATTCCGAATTTTCTTTATTTATGCCAATATCATCTATAATTTCGTGAAAATTGTCTTGTTTACTTATATATTCTGTCATTGTATCGATCAATTCAAATCCACGTTCTTCGTCGCTTGTTGTTGCAATTCTTCCTATAAATGGAATGGGACTTAAAGGTCTTCTTTTTAGTATCAAGACTCTCATGTCATAACAAAGTCTGGTTCTTTTTTCAGCTAGAAATAAATTTCCTAATATTCCTGTTTCACTGAATGGTGTTTCTTGTGATAAAACGTGAAAAACGTGATTTTTATCAAATACATTTAATGTCACTGTTTCTAATGTTATAATATTCTGAGAAGTAAATCCAATGAGGGAAATTTTTGTATCTGTATCAATAATAACATTTGATAGTAATAAAGATATTTTTATGGCATTGACGTCAGCTCCTATATCTATGATAAAAGTATTTTCGCTTTTATTTAGTTGTGAAATTTTTAGTCGTATTGTCGGCGCAGTGCTGATGGTTTTTGCGACGGACACTCAGGTGATTGCACTCATTGATTTGTCAGTGGACGCTGATTCAGGTCTTTGCTCGCCGTTGCGTCGGGGCAATGAGCACCGTTCTCGTTTAAGGAATAGTACGTTTTAGGAGAATTTAGCCTGAAAACTTGTTGATTACTGAAGGAATTCAACCTTGATCGAAAGCTGGTGTCGTTTCGTGATTCTCGTGGATATGTCTGAGTATTTTTACAAGTGCAGGGGTAATTTTCTATTGGAAAAGTGGAAGAACTGCTAAATTTACACTGTAGTAAACTTTTGTGAAACGGGTAATTTAAATAGGCCAATAATTGATTTTAATGTTGTATTGGATGCGTGGGGCCAAAATTTAAATGATTTTTCTACCAGTCGTTCAAAGGCTGATTAGATTGCGTTCCATTCGATTTTTGTAACAATTCTACAGATTGATCAGTAGAGTCGTTATTTTGATATTGAAGAGCTGGGTGTGATATTATTTTTACGTTTGAATTAAACGTAGTACAAAAAATTCTTGTGTCATTAAAATTGTAATAATGAGATATGTTATCACGATTGTACATGTTGGGATCATCACACTCAATTTGTTGTATATGGTATTGATTGGGCTAAAAATATGAAAACTGTTCTTGTCTATTTCGTTGGTGTACTGATAGATTTTGTCTCGCTGTAGAGTTTAACTGCTGAGCAAGATACACGTGTAAATTCTGATGGTACATGTTAGCGTGAGTATTGGGGTGTAATATTTGCCAACTTCTTCGGCTTCTAAAGCTACCCGTAAAGCGCCAGTAAAGGTTTTTGGTATGTTTAACATTATGTTAGCCTTGAATCCATCGGGTTAGTCTCGCATAAATGCTTCACAACCAACCATTTCTAGATATAATTTTAAATCAGGCTATTGATTTTCAGGAATATTGTTGAAAGCGACTTCTATTTTTGCTGCTCTAGCGCCTTGGTTAATGAGTTGGGAGATTCTTTCATGAAAATCGTGAACAGTTTCTCCCAGCGTCAGCTGAGAATTATAACTGTCGGTGATGTATTGAGCGTAAGTCGTAGAAGGAGCAAAGTGTGCCTTTAAATGGTTTATAAGATCGCCTAATGTATTTATTGTTAATCTGTCTAGCAACTTCTTGCTATACCCTTTATGCGTAAAACAGAGTTATTTATCACGTTACGTGATAATTCAAGGAATTCAAGTGATTTTTTGGCTTCCCGTGCACTATGGTATTGTTCAAGTAACTGTACCCCTGTAGCTACATCAGCTACCTTGTTTATATCCTCAAGTGATATGATGTGATCCATTAATGAAAAATTTTAAAAATACAAAAGAAAAGAGAAAAATATATATGTATAAAAAAAAAATGATAAACAAATTTGGGTTAGGTTAAAGCATACTTCAAGTAAAACGAAAGGCTTAGTTCCCCACAAGAGATGCCAATTTTTTACGTCTGAACTTAAAAGTGAAGGGTGGAACTCGTAGATTCGTTCTACAAACAAATAAATTAAATTTTTATTCTACAGGAACCAGCCCTCGGCTTCAAGGTCGTATTTGTTCTTACTTACAGTATGCTTTTCTTTTAAATCGTTGACTCGGCGATGTAGTGTTAGGTTTCAACGAATGGTATGTGTAGAGAGGTGTTGGTATATCGTACGCCAATCGAGCCTTGACCTACTGTTTGAATTTATCTGATCTAATATGGTCGTAGCGTAATTTATTCATCTCCTTATCTGACGTCCTCGTAAGATCTTTATCATCCGTTATGTATTCAATTTTTTCTTGGTATATAATTTATTTATCAAAGTGAAATTTAAATTTTTATCAATTGAAATTTGGATTCTTAGAATACTTTTATATAATTTAGTAATTAGAGTATTTTATTTAAGAAAAGAAATATAATTAACAACCAAGTTATGTCTTATCTCATGATTTAATAATTCAGTGATGCCGAAAATAATTAATTTTACAAATAATATTAATTATAAAGGTTCAGATTCGCGTTAACAATACTTCAACAAGTTTTTTATTTTTCTTAACTTAACTTACTTCTATAATCGTTGATTAACCGCTGCTTGCGCGCACGCAGTTGCAAGATTTTACAAAGTTGACCGCAACGATGATCTTAATTCTACACGAAAGTACTCGTGGCGATGGAAATAATTAGGCTGCTGCTTCTAACGTCGGAACCCAAGTCAACGGCCCTTTCTTTCTAGTTTCTCCTTGATTCACTTTTAAGGCAAGTGTACAGTGGCCTGGTTTGCTCGAGCTTTTCTTACACAGCTTACTCACCGAACTAAGTCTTGGATTTGCTTGAATTGCATCTTTTAACACGTAGCCTTATCACTGAACTAAGTCTTACATCTGCTTGAAAGACGAACAGAACTCACTCTCCAACCCTTATAGTTACTTTGGAGCACTTGATGAAAGAGAAAAGGCAACTATTAGTATGTGCAAGGAGTTTTTATACTCTCGCATTTGAAGAAGACACGTCAAGTTAAGGATCTGAACGACCAATCAGAGCTTAACCCAATTACTGTCAATTTACACAAGCATAAGCGTGGTGCAACAACTATACCACAAACAATGGTAAAAGTTGCTGATCTCTCGGTTGTTTTATTTGGTACAGTTGATCTTGAAACTGTTCACGACATTCTCTGTGGATCATTCTTAGTAATGAATGTTGAAACTGCTGATTGTTTTCATTCTTGCGGATGTTTAGTGCAAATTTGTTGTAGTAAGATGAGCGCTATATAAGATTATTTGGAAATCGCACGCGTAGTTAAAGTTTTGCGATGACAGCTCTTTTCAAAGGAAGTAAGTTATATGCTACGAGATTGCAGAAGCAGCTATACAGCTTCATGTTTTTACGATCGCTGAGCATTTTCTTTTAATAATTTTTTAATGGAGCTGTGTATCTCGAAAATAATGAATATTAAGTACATGACGTAGGATTTCACATGG